GAAGTTTTAAAATGTATTTAAAGATATTTAAAAGTTATGAAATAATAAAAAATTATAAACCACGTACGCTCGTCCTTCAAAAATATTATCATCACCCACCTTGTTTTATGGTTTACTCTGAAGATGTAGCCCATAATCTTTTCAACTTATTTACATATTAGATAGATACTTTTTTTCTTAAAAGAACTGTCCTCTACAATGCTAGAAGACGGATTCGATTCCCTACAGTGAACACAGCAGATAGCCCAATGTGGCTTTTCTCACAAACAAACTTATAAGAACTGGTCTTCACATTTACACACACATTTTCTCTTAGCAAAGTAACAATATAATATGAACCAGAAAAGTATCGTATTTCAATCTTTCAGATAAGGAAAGTAACTAAACAACCACTGGTGAGGTTCTGTATTACTAGAATAAACAAGTGTTCATGTTGTACATACTTGAACAAAGAACTTTCAGCAAGTTAAGGGTGAATTATTGATTAGCGAATCAGTGAAGATTAACTATAATCTTATTTCTCTTAAGAAATATTTTTGAAAACATAATTATACTTTTTTCACACAGGTAGTTGTGAATAAAGCCACATTACTTTATTTTTTAGAGTAGACAAGAAACGAGACAAGTTGGAAAGAAAAGTCCTGGACAGCCAAGAAAGAGCCTTTTGGGACGTGCACCGGCCAGTGGTCAGTACAGTCTAATAAGAAGTGAACTTTTTAAAGTATTATACTGCATATATATAAATAGCGTTTCACAGAGTTATTTGTCTGTCATTGTTCAACCCATCTGATGAGTTCTGGTATTGAACAAAAAGCTTCTTTGACAGAAAACAACTTACGTAGTTGACATGATTTGTATAACAAGTAAAATAATATGTTCAAGTGAAAATAATAGTAAAAAGGATTCTGAAATGTCTACCATGTAATCATAATGCATTCTTATAGTAACAAATCTAAAAAAAAAGTCTCCCAAAGATTAATGAATAACCTTCTTTGATACTCATCGTATATGATAATATGGTTACAAATAAAAGTGCAGTAATTAGTTAAGTATTGAAGAATTTCTAATTATAACTTACTGAGATCTTCTGCTGTTATACTCATAAAAACTGAGACGAGAAACACTAAATAAGTGGGAAAATCAACTTGCTTCAAAAATGAAAGCGCTAATTAATTTAATATTAGCATATTATTAGGATTAACTAAGAATGAAATAAACAGTAGTTGACGACTGATCTAATATTTCTGACTAAAGTAACGCTACCATCAGGGTAAAAATAGTGACCTTTATTGCTATTATCATCAAACGAATTTTACTATGGCAAGCATAAATTAACGTACACTGTTTTATTGTTTTTGTAATGTTTATCATCCGTTGTAAGTTGCCCCCCTCCCAGAGGCTCAGCGGTAATTCTAAATACTTATAACGCTAAAAAATGCGTTTTGATACCCGTGTTTGGCACGGCACAGATAGCCCATTGTGTATCTTTGTGCTAAACAAAAAACAAAACAAATCGTCGTGAGTTACGACGTTATGCATTACCTAAAAACTTTTATTAATTATTTTATATATAAAATTGTTTCAGTAAATTTGTACGATTGTAATGAAGTCCACATAATTAAAACATTGATCACTTTCTCATATTTCAATAATTATACATACACACTGCTCTTTTTTTTCAATTTCACATAGATTTAGGAATAAATGTCAAGTCTTATAGATTGCGTATCCACACCACTTTGGGGGGTGGACTTCTATAGATACCTCTCTTACTAAAGAGCATTTTAGCATTCGTACAGTATAACTTGTACCCCCAGTTTTATTTTATTTAACTTCCTCATAATTTTTATTTACTCCAGCCAGGATGTGTCAACACTACAGAACATGATATCAAAAAAGCTTGCCGTATGAACAAGTCAACAAGACGTGCCAAAGTAAGTCTGTGGAAGCGACATCTGTCAGATGAATTTGTTTTCTGTCGTGATAGATTTTACTTTGGATATTTTGTATAATATTTTGTTACGAAAACTAGTGGTGTTAGTCGCTAGCATTTTTGGGTTAATTTAAAAAATCAATAGTGTTATTATGACTATTATTACGCGTCTGTGTTATTTATATCTTTATAAACAATATCTTTGAGAAAGGCTATCGATTGATCACGTGACCACTGTCGACGTCGTCACCCTTGTGCTCGTGCCTTTCCGTTTCAAACATCAGATGAAATTGGAACGTAACCTAACCAACTTTTCTCTCTGTAACAAAATCGATGTGTTTTGTGTGTGCCATAAACTTGTTATAGTAAAATTACTATTTAACACAATTACGTTATTCATAATTACATGCTATGTTTTCATAAAGTGATAACGATTTAGGTCAAGTGTACTTTCAGTTTTAGACGTTTAAAATATTACTCCATTGCATAGTAATATATATTAACATTCCAACATACAATACTTCAACTGTCGTTCAGTTTGTCTTCTCGAACTTTTTTAGTTATCCAATTATTCGAAAATATACTAAAAAATGTACAATATTTTAATTCTGGTCACGAAAGGTTAAAATCAACTGTAAGATATTAAACTGAACTTCGAAGCATAACCTATTAATTTTCATCTTAATATCCACAGAATGATACCCATAATTTTCGAGAAACGAATAATAACGGGAAACTTTATTTTTGTACCGTTAGTGAATTGATAAATAACAGATGTTAGTCATGACTAGAAATATGATGTAAACTTAGCCATTTTACTTAATTAAGTCCTTTTAGTGAAGAAAAAGGAATAAGGTAAACATCGTGATCATACGATTACAGATGTTAATATGTTATGTTTAAACGACTTTGGAAGATCACCACTTCGTTACAGCCCATGTCACCATGTCCGATCACGCTGTATCTGCAGCATAGTTTCCATTGCAAAAACCATCAACGTAAGACTGTCATGTCCAAAGCACGCTCCACCTCTTTGCTGCTTTCAATAACCTATCTAGTAACGAAGGGCGATTGTAAGGTATGCAAGGTTGGACATATATGTCGTGAAAGCAACTTATGTTCACCTGACTTGTGTGGCCTTTACAGATGGAGATCCTCCTTGATAATGTTGCGTAATTTTCCCTGAAACACATGGACAGCTTTTGCCACTGACCTTTGTGTTCGTGAATTCTCATCTGTTACAAGACGCCGCTTTTGTTTACTACAGCTGAAGTACGATTTGTTGCAAGTCTCTTTCTGGATGATCCTGGTACCCCAAACTGACCCACATTCTTTTGTTTTCTGAAATCATATCAAGGGATATCGTCACCTTAGAAATTCTAAATCCCCAATCTGAACACATCTTTATGATATGAGTATTTTGAGAAGGAAAGGAGTCATACCCTTCCCAAAGCTATCGCTTTTCGTTGGCATCACACTACTTAGGTTATAATGCCAAACAATGTCTAAATGTAGTGCTGATATATGCCGTTCCACCGCAACTATATATTGGCTGTGGTTGTCACGTGACTTGCTGGTTTGCATATTCAAAATCATTTTAACGTACTCAGCCCTCTGTATTATTGGAAATAGAGAAGGGGCGTGTATGTTCTAATCGTTTTCCTGATACATCCAGTTACATCTCATATAAATTGAGCAGTTGTATTTATTTTCTCAACTAAATACATAAAACTCATTGTTAAAAAATAAAACTTCGTTTTACTTTAATTTTCAAATTGTCAGGGGATTATTTGTGGAAGTAAGGCCAACCCCATGTCGGAAGCGGATATAGCACGATCTACAGAAGCCTTGCGCAAAGAGGTTAGTGGACTGTATCAAATTTTTACTAATTACTTGCGCTCTGGAGTAATTTTGAGTAAGCTAATATTAGAATATTTCATTTAAGGAGGTATACTTCTCAATAAGTTTCTTTAATCAATCTTTAGAGTCAGATGATAGTTCTAATCAAGTAGTGTAATCACATTGGTCACGATCGATGGTGGAGGAAACCTACAAAGAAAAGCACGGATTCTAGAACATGGTGCTTAAAAAGTATGATTAAGCTTCAGTAACTCCATGTTTTTAGATATTTGTAACTTAGCTTCAGAAAAGAAAACTCGCGAAGTTTTCTGATACTCGTAATAACTAGATTTTTTTTTAATTGAAAATGTTTTCATTTTTTGTTTTTTGCCCCCACTACATGGGACATTCCATATTCCTCTAAGTGATATACGTGTTAATTGGGTTAAATTGGGTTAAATTATAGACTTACACAAAATATCCGGGTCGTTATGTTTAAAGGCTTTTAAATCTAAACACACTTTTTTTTTAACCACGTTCACAACTTGTAGTTGATTTGTGAAAATCTTACCCCTTTTTTTTCCCTACTTTACTTTTTATTTAACAAAAATTACAAAATACTCATCTCTGCCTCGTTACAGATCGCTTCTCTAAAGAGTAGGTTAGATCGAAGGAACGTCAAGATATCGAAAGTAGGTGAATCGTAAGTATTGTTTTCTCAAACAAATTTATACTTTCATTGAAATCATATTATTGAAACTTTTATTTTCTAGTGAACCATCACAAGTCGTAGAATATTGGAATTACTCGATCAAATCCTTAAAACAGATACAACGTAGATTAGCTGCCAGTGGCACAGCGGTATGTCTGCGGACTTACAACGCTAGAAACCGGGTTTCGATACCCGTGGTGGGCAGAGCACAGATAGCCCATTGTGTAGCTTTGTGCATAACTTCAAACAAGTTTGTTTTTGATTGTTTTTGAATTTCGCGCAAAGCTACGCGAGAGCTATCTGCGCTAGCCGTCCCTAATTTAACAGTGTAAGA